TATTCTTCCCCTTGTAGGTTATGGTTTTCTTACGTCTCGCTGATTTCAAGGTTTTCTCTTTCATATTAACTTTACTGAAGTTAATTTTGATGTGTCTGGGGGATGTCTTATTTGAGTTGAGTAGTGCTGGGGTTCTGAAGTTGTCTGCAATCTGAATTTCAGGATCTCTTGACATATCTGGAAAGTTATCTTTCATAATTTCATACAGAAGAGCGTCTGTGTTTTGCGAAGCAACTTCATTGCCTTCAGGGATTCCTATGAGGCAAATATTAGTTTTCTTTGAATTATTCCAGAGCTCTCTGAGAGAATGGTCCATTTTTGCTTTCCATTTCTGATTCTCCTTAGACATTTGGACATATTCAGAAGCTTTGTCTTCTACATCTGAGATCCTTTCTTCTGCCTCTTGCACTCTGTTACCAAGAGATTCGACCGTATTTTTCAGATCTTTGAGGGGTGCAATCTCTTGCCTTAATGTTTCGACCACCATCTTTGGTGGTTTTGTCTTTGAATTCGTTGAATTCTTGAGTGAACTTTTGGAACGCTCCTTTAATTTCTATTTCTATCTTTGCCTCTATTCTATTATCTTATTTGCAATCCAAATTCTGAATTCAATTTCTGACATCTCAGCTATCTGTTTATATAGGGGATCTTCAGTTTCATCTGCTACATCCTTTCTTGGGGGTTTGACCTACTCTGGTTATTCATATTACCAGCCACATCCTTTCTTGAGGGGGTTGATCTACTCTGGTTATTCATATTACCAGAGCTTTTCCACTGATTCCACCCCATGATTGTTTTACTCCACTTGGCTTTTCCCCTTGAGGTTTGTCAAGGACCCATACAGTGTTATGGCCTGAGAGACTGGGAACCTGCTTGGTGTGATGGGGCTAAGTGGCTCTGTCTTATTTTCAGCTGATGTCTGTCTTACCCTAGTGATTCAGTTTCTCTTGGTTGAAGTCTCAGCTGTGGGGAAATACCAGAAATTAAATTTCCCCACCCCCCATAAACAACAATTGGGCAATGAAAATCAAACCTTCCCTCAACCATGCACCCAGGGTGCCCCTTTGAATAGTCCCTGGGTGGTCTGCCTGGTTTAAGTTGTCCAAATCAGTTGTCCCAGTCAGCACCCATTTCAGGTGGAAAAGTTCAAATGTTTCCGGCAGCTAGATAAGAGGAGTCTGCTCGCAGCTCAGATATAACTTGATCCAGTGCTCTGTGAAGGCAAAGGGACCCACCCAGCAGATGGATTAGTCTGGGAAGGTTAATACCTCCTTCCCCACCTTGCACCCAGTCACTTGTAATCCCCCAGGTCTGTGACCCTATTCACTCCAGTAGGCAACTGCTCCCAGGGTTTATGACTGCCAAAATCACCCAGAAATCTGCATCCAGCAGGGGGACCTTGCATGTTTAAATTAGGCTGTTAATATTCTCTTAATTCCAGCCCCTCACCTTCTGTTGCCGCAAGATTCCTCTGCAAGTCAGAGGCTGCTAGCGCTGATGAGCAACTCAACCCTGGGCAGCAATTAGAGTTTACACTCAGGTGTCAATCCCTGCCTCTGCCCACCCACTGCCTTTGTCTCAGCATTCCCCCGAGGGCGAGGGCGAGGTGCTCGTTGGGAAATCTGAGTCCAGTCCAGCAGGGGAAGAATTTATGCTTTGAAAGTTGTGGCCATTACACCCTCACACCTCTGTCCTATCTAAATTCTTCTGCAAGTCAAAGGCTTTCTAGAGCTGGTGAAGAACTCAGCTCTGGGCCTGAAGCAAATTAGAGTTTACACTCAGGTGTGAATTCCAGCCTCTGCCCGCCCACTGCCTTTGTCCCAGCTATTCCCCTGAGGGCTGGTGCTAATTGTTTCTTTACTTACGAAAGTTCCCAAGTCCATTTGTTGGGCATGTGGCTGCTGTCTGGAACCTCTGGTTGCCCAGAGAGACAGGGCTAGCCTCTCTTGAATGGTGTCAGTTCATAGCTCAGGATGCCACTGTTGCTGTATGGCTTCTTCTGAGCCAACTTTCTTCTCCTCACTCCTGTGCCACAGTCAGCACAGAGCAGCACCAGCCCTTTCCCCCTACTTCTCTCAAGGAGATGCCCAAGAATCTGGACTCTGTAGGTAACAAACCTCCAGACTTGGGGGGTTGGGATCCTTGGAGTTCAGTGTCACAGGTGGGGAATATATACAGTTTTATACAGATTTACAGTTTTATGCCTGGCAGGAGGGTTCCATGGCATGCCAGCAGGGTAGGAGGTCCAGTTTTTAGGGGGTCTCTCTCATGGGATAGAGTCAGAGGATGTTTGAACTCTGCTCACTTGTTTGCATGGAGTAAACTGTGAGCCCTTCTTGTGGGAGAGGGGACTCCCATCCACTTGGTGATGGATTTTGTACCTTTTGATTGTATTTTTGGGGTCACAGCTTGCCTCAGGAAGGTTGAAGTGCACTCTTCAATCTTCTCTCTTGGCTCTGCTCCAAACCATCAGCTCCTTTGCTAAACTTCTGTCCTTTAAGCCTCCTTCTGGATGGGAGCTTCTGTAAAAAGCTGGCTGCAGTCTGCCATCTTGGCTCTGCCCCTCAAACAAATGGGACTTAATTAAACTGAAAAGCTTCTGTACAGCTAAGGAGACAACCACCAAAGTAAATAGACAGCCTACACAATGGGAAAATATATTTGCATATTTTGAATCAGACTGAACCTTGATAACTAGGATCAACAGAGAACATAAATTAATCCACATGAAAAATGCCAATGATCACATATATCAATGGGCAAGAGAGATGAATAGAACCTTCTCTAAAGAAGATAGACGAATGGCTAACAAACATGAAAAAATGCTCATCATCCCAAATTATTAGAGAAATGCAAATAAAAACCACCTTGAGATATCACCTAACCCCAGGCCCACATCACAACTCTCAAAGCTGCAGATGCTGGCATGTTATGGAGAGAAGGGAACACTTTTACACTGCTGGTGGGACTGCAAACTAATACAACCTTTTTGGAAGGAATTATAGAGAATCCTCAAAGAACTCAAGCTAGACTTCCCAGTACTTCCTGCAATTCCATTACTGGACATCTACCTAGAAGGAAAAAAAGTCCTTTTACCACAAGGACACTTGCACTAGACTGTTTATTGCAGCTGAATTTACAATTGTCAAAATGTGGAAACAGCCTAAATGCTCACCAACCCTGGAATGGATTAACAAACTGTGGTATATGTATACCATGAAATACTATTCAGCCATTAAAAAGATGGAAACTTTACATCCTTTGTAAACCTGTATGGAAGTGGAACACATTATTCTTAGTTAAGCTCCAGAAGAATGGTGACGCATGAATTCTATGTACTTAATTTTGATATAACGACAATTAATGACCTAGTACAAGGGTGTGGGAAGGGAAGAGCACAGAGAGAGAAAAGGAGGGAGGGGGTGGGGGAAAGGAAAAGGAGACAGAGGAAAGGGGGTACAGGGGTAGAGGTCTGGGTGATGTGCACCTCACTTTGTCCTCTCTGTGCATAGCTCCTCACTTTTGACTTCAGTCCACTTCAGTCCAATATCTTTTCCTCTGGACAAGAGTCTCTAGCAAAAGCTGCTTCTCATTGGCCATCTTGACTCTATCCCCTAGTTATTCATTTTTGGAAGGCTACTGATTTTATGTCTGTTTCCTCATATATTTTGGATATTAGTTTAAAAGATCATTGTTAGTGGAAGGATGGGACACCCTCTTTTCATTCTAACTTCTGTGACTATCTCTAATAAACTATTTGAGGGCATATATTTCGTGTCTTATATTGCAGTTTGAAGTTCTTGTCTAGTAGTAATACTGGGCATGTTGCATATTTGGACACTGAACCAGTGGGTACTTTTGCACAGGTCCTATTTCTAAGGCTGTACTAACTTCTACCTCTCTAGGTGTGCAGCTTTGTATAATTGTAAATACAAGCCCCACAGCTTTTTCTTTTTCTTTCTTTTCTTTTTTCTTCTTCTTTTTTTTTGCAGTTTTTGGCTGGGGCTGGGTTTGAACCAGCCACCTCCGGCATTTGGGGCCAGCACCCTACTCCTTTGAGCCACAGATGCCTCCCAGTGCTTTTTTCATTTTCTCTCTTAAATGCAATAACTGTACCCCAGTGCTTAGTTTCAAATCTTAAATGTATCTCTGGTTCCCTTCCTAACATTGGGTGCTTTTAGGTTTTATCTAACTGCTTTAAATTATTACTAATTTATATTTCTATTCTGTGTCTAGTCCATAGATATTTGTGTGTGTGTGTATGTTTTATATATTATTACGTGTGTTCAATGTGGATAAATGTTCTTAAATCCTAATCTTACAATGTCAGAGTCTCAGGAACCCTCACAAAGATGTTAGAATGAAACCTTTACCTAAAAGGTTACTCCACACATCCTTCTTAGATATCCCTGCAGGTCATCACACAAAATTTATTTGCTAGTTTTATGTAAAGATGTATTTTCATATTTTTCTTTATTTTTTTGGTTTCCTATTTTACTATGGAACCCCTCTGTACTCCTAATGATAAAAAATATTTTTCAAACATGTTTAACATTTTTAGTCATTTATTTTTACAACAGATTATCATATGAATGTGCGTTTTATTTTTTGCTATATTATGGTATTATATATCAGTATCATTTATGAAGCAATTTATTAGTTAGGCATTGAATTGAAAGGACATACCTTAAAATGTATTAAATCCCTATTTAAGTTTTATCTCTGAATTATATGCTAAGTTTTCTCTTACCAGAAACATACTATTTTGATTAGACAACATTTGCAGTAAGTTTCAACATCTTTTTCTTCAAGTAGTTTTCCCAGAACTAATTTGTGTTGACCTTTACCAGGATCAGTTTTCATAAAGAAAAGAAAAAGAGTAATACTGTTACAGACTATTCTCATGACAAACAGAAAACCAACTGTAATTCAAACTTATTTCATCTCAAGTGAGATTTCCCAAATGAATATTAATTCTATTCTGGAATTCTCCATGTTAGGCTTACGAACTCCATCAGGAGAATAAGAAATCTGCCAGCCCAGGAGTTCAAAGCGTGGAAATCGACATATTCCCTGAATTTGAACAGAATCCCCCAAAGGTAATTTTCCTAGGAAAAGAATGTGTATCTCATCTGCACACTTCCAGGATAGCCATTATGAAAAAATATCAGCATTGATGCAGACAAAATTGCCAGAATTGAGTCTTAAGCAAAGGTATAGGTCAGTTTTTTCAACTTTACTACTGATAGGAATTTATTGTTGTGCTGGCTTTTCTGTGAATTGTAGAATGTGTAGCAGAATCTTTAGCCTCTACCTACTAGATTCCAGTAGCATCCCCCAGTTATGATAATCAAAAATGTCTTTATACATGGCTGATATGTCTCCTGGAGAGCAAAATCAATGAGAGCCACTGGTCTAGGATTAGTATTCCAGGAGTTGAGATCAATGAAAAATTACACTATCTGTAAACTAGCCTTTTCTTCACCACCTTGTTTCCATAGTTGGTGTTAGAAAGCCCAAGGTTATGAACTTTAGGAAGAAAAGAGTTAGGGAACTATGTCATCATATGCTTTGTTCTTATTCAGCCAAGAGAGTAGTTAGAGAACTCTCTTCTGAAGTTAGGCTTGCTATAGCATGTAGAAAGGGGATTTCAGAAGGGGTGCTTTCTTGGTACCCCTTATAACTAGAAGCTTTTGCAAAGTTGGTTTCAACCCTGACAAATCAGATAATGAGGAGTTAAGTACAAGCATGGTGAGAGTCTTGATAAATGACACACATTTTATTGTGTTCTGATATACAGAAGTCTGATGCCACCAGTATGCTATCAGAATGTAGCACCATTGATCTGCAGTGGCAATTTCAGTTACCAGAAGTGGTTCCCAAAAGGGAACCAGAGAGATGTTTGCCCAAAGGTAAGTGGCAGTATGCCTGCATCTAATTCACAAAATGTTTGAATGGGATTTTAGTTCTTTGGAACTCTGTGGTTTTGTAAATGCTTCTTTCTATTTCTGCTAGTGACAAAAGTAAAGAGAAGGCATCCATAAATTCTTGGGGTCATTGTCAGATCCAGGCAGAAGGATTTTGGGAAATTCTTGATTTCAGTAGGCTCTATTCATGCAGCTTAACAAGCAGGGTAAATATTCTAAAAAACTTGCCTTGAAATTCCACTGGACCAACATGTCTGCCGCATGTATAATCCCTAGTACATCCACTGCTAGGATGTATTTGAGGTTGTAGGCCAAGAGAAGAGAAGAGCTTGGCTATTGTAATCAGAATCTTTGGCTCAGGAGCCAGACTGCCTGAGCTCAAATTCTGGCCTCTCCACTTACGAGTTGTGTGACTTGTTAGATTTAGTTGACCTTTGTCTGTGTCATTTATAAAATGAGGATAATAATAGTATATATGGCAAAGGGTTGTTGTAGGTATTAAATGAGTGAATATAAATCACTTAGAAGAGTATCAGGTATATAATAAGTAATACGTGCATCCCTTCCTAATTCCTTGAATGGATGTAGTGGCGTCTTTCTATGGGCCTTCCTTATGTTTTGCATTCATCATGGAGAATTTATTTATATCTATCTTCCCCATGAGGTTCTTTAAAACATAGGCAGTGACTTCATCAACATTGTATCTCTGGTGGGACAATAGAAGCTGATCCAGGTAATGGGCTCAACAAATGTTCGTAAATAAATGACTTAACAAATTAATAAAGTAATTTAAGAATTAAAAATTGTTGACTTGTAATATATTCTTTCTTGCAAAATAGACATATTAACATGCTTGTGACAATGAATGTGCTACTGTCTTTGAAAAAAAAGGTTTGTCTCAATTCGAAATAATAAAAGATTAACCTGAGACCAAAAAAAAAAAAATTGTCCTACAAGTTTAGGACTAACCTAGGCCCAGAAAGAACCCATAGAATGGGTTTCAAACTCATAATCCAGGTTGTTTGACAACCCCAAAGCTGGACAAAGGTCAGGCTAAGGATTTTCAATAGATTAAAGTTCTCCTGATTCACATTTGGACTGGCCCTGGAGGTATGCAATAGGTGTCAGCCATGGAGATGGAGAAAAAAGGGGGATTTCTTGAAGAAGGGACAAGTAGAATAAAAAACAGGAAAAAATAGTCTTTTTGAAAGATGACCCTATTAATGTTCTGAAAGATGGGGGAGAAAACGGACAAAAGAGAGTTTATAGTTCACTTAAGAAGGTGAGGAGGAAAGCTGTGAATTGTCACCACCATGAAGTAGGATCAGCAGAATTTAGAGAAGAGGAAGTAGTGACTAGATGAGAAGGGTGATAAGATTCATGCTGAAAGTTTATGTGTGCTGAGAACAAATGCTCAGCTGTTTGTAAACATCCTGATAATTGATCAAATTTTTTCACGATGGGTGGCTCGCAAAGCTTGTGGCCATTCTACCCGATTCCCCCAAATCCTTTAGACAAAATCTATTTACTAATAATGAAAAAAAAAAAGTGTTGCTTGGCAGACAACCACAAAACCTTGGTGACATACAATGAAATAACATGTGCCTGGGTTAGACCAGCTGGATTCAGCTGGTCTAGGTGAGTGATCTCTGCTAGCCTCAACTGGCTTTCATATGTGTGGTGTTGCCTGGGAGTCAACTGATAAAGCCTGGGCCCAAATGAGCAGCTTGGCTGTGCTCCATATGGTTATTATTCTCCTCCAAGAACCACAAGGCTAGTCTGAATATGCCTTTTTATGGAGATGTTGCAAGGGAGCATGTGAAACTTGCAAGGCTTTTCCAGGCCTGGGCTCAGAACTGGCACTCTGTGATTTCCTTTCCACTCTGCTGGCCAAAGCAAGTCACATGGCTGAGCCCAGATTTAAGAGTTTAGAAATCTACTCTGCTTCTCCCATTAAAGAGAGGTCACATAGCAAGGGACATGAACATAGGGAGGAGCAAAGAGTTGGAGCTATTATTATAGACACTAATGATATTGCTACTGCTGATTGCTTTCAGGCCTGGGTTGCTCCTTTCCATGTTGTGGAATGGACAAGACAAAGTCCCCCTGCATCACTTGGTGGAACCTGCGGAAAACCTGCTACCAAATCGTGAAACACAGTTGGTTTGAGAGCTTTATTATCTTTGTGATTCTGCTGAGCAGTGGGACACTGGTAAATCATTATGGTCTTGTGGGGATGTTGGGCATCAGGGCAGCTGGGGGAGCCACGTTCTGACTTGATCCCTTATAGAGTGCCATGAATGTGCAAGACAGGTGGAAGTGGGATCTTCTCGTTGCTTCTCTCACTAGGTGGGGATTTGCGCATCTTTTGAAGTCATGCTCATCTGAGAACCCCCCAAGCCAAAGATGTGTTTATGTAGAAGAGTAACCCAACCCACAGCTTCAAAGTAGCCACTACGGTCTGGTCCTTGAGCCCAGGCCCACTAATCTACCCCTCATTCTTGGAAGATTTCTAGACATTTTCATTGTATGCAACATATTTCCTCCTCTAGGCAGCAATCCTCATACTATCCTTTTTCCTGAAGACCACAGTGCTGCTTTCTAAAACATAAAATATTAGGGGAGATGGCTACAGGATCCAGATTAGGATATGATAAGTTGCTTTGGTATTTTCCATCACTCATGATCCCTTAATAGGAAAGACAATGAGATACCTCTGAATGTATATGGTCCTTCAGGATTGAAGTGTGGTATGAATCCCAGTGATGTTTGTAAATAACTCTGAACCCAACAGCTTCTACTCCCATAGAGTCATTAATTCCTTGCCCCCTCTTCACACCTTCTGGTCTTTCTTGCCCCATTTCCCCTCCTGCCTTGCAGGACAGTATCTTTCCTTTTACTTCTTACATATGTTTTCCCTCCCTCTCCACTGTCCTTCCCTTTTATCTTGTGTCTTTCCTTTTAATGGTCACAAGTAATATGGAACTAAACTTACTTGCTATTTGTTGTGTTAAATTAGTTTGCCTTTATCATTTAGAGTGACAGAACATTTCACAAAATGTCACTTGGAAATGGAAGGGGTGGGACATGTTTTGCTCTCCCACACCCCATACCTTTTGGTTTGTGCTTTACATTTCTGCAATTTCTAGGTAAAAGATGAATATATACCAGATCCATGGGGGATTGTGATCAACATAGACCTCCACTTAGCTAGGTACTGCAATGTAAATTATTACTCAAACAGAAAAGTAAATTTCTCTAAAACATTAAGATTAATTTTTAGTGCTAGTCTTGGGTCTAGGGTTACCTATAGTCTTCTGGTGATTATGTTTTCACTGACCATCTACTTTTATTCAAGTGGTAGGGTTTCTTTTATTCATTCCACAAATGGCACTTTTGATAGTTAGTGGGAAAGCGGTAGTGTTGTCAAAAGGCCACATGCAAATGCTCCATGGTGCCATAAAGAGAAAATTTATAGTCAGAGATACAGCAGAGAGCACACAATCCTAGTTTACATCTGTCTTCAGAAAAGCAAGTGTAGGCTTGGAAGAGTGAGACTGAAAGCACAATGCAGAAGGTGCCAGGAGAGGGACCTCGCACCTCTACATATTTGTAGAGAACTGAGGACAAGAGGCACCTAGTCTTTGACAATGATAGGCAGTCTATGGACCAGTCACATCAGCATACCAGAAGGAGTCTTAGAAGTGCAGTCTTACATTGTAATAAGTTCCCCTTATTAATGATTAATAAGTTTCCCTTATCTAATGATTTGGGCTCATTAGAGTTTGAGAAGCTCTGGTCTAGGCAACTATGCAATAAGAGGAGCATCCTGGGTCAGAAAATGGCCTAGTTACAATGCAGAATTTTCTGAAACTCAGTTGTTGGTATCAGCCTGCTCACCCCTTAAGCTAACACAGACCTGCTGAGACAGCTTACTGCCAAGTTTCCAAAATGAGGGAGGAAATATACAGCTAATATCATTCCAATTTGTCTTTCCTTAAGAGGTAAACAAACCAACAAGTCTCTCACCTCCATGACCCTGGAGTTGAGTAGAAAAGATAGATGGAGCAATTATAGACCAAGATAGAAGAGGTAGTTAAATGATATACTCAGAGAAACAGTGGGTGGTATGGGGGCCTGTAGGGTGCATCTAACCTAGTCTTTGGTTAGGTTTCCTACAGCAGATATCAGCTAGGCTGAGATCTTAAGGCTACAGAGGAGATGACAGGGCAGAGAAGGAGATGGTGGGCCTTCTCCAGCAAAATCCCACTTGGCAGCTATAAGTGAGACTGCTTTTCTTTTTTTCCCCAAGGATGTGAGGCTGTGAGCTTACCATAGTACCTGAGAGGAGGGCTGATTTCTTTCTTGCCTTCAGTGTTGGCCTAAAAGTTTGGGCCGGTTAGGTACCGGGCCTTCTCCCTTTCTTTCATCCTCAGCAGCCTGTAATACTCAAAAGTACAGATTATACTCTAGTCCTATAGACCCGATCTTGCATAATCACCCATACTTTGGGTGACGTAAATGTTCGGATAGAGCATGAAAAGGTTCTCTCTGAAATCCAGAATGTCTCTTTTTCATAATCATACTAACGTTTTATAGTAAAAGTAATTTTCACTGGGTGCTGTAGCCCAGAGTTTCCCAAATTTGATATGTCATGGTGTACATACAAAATGATAACATCTGTAGGGAATTCTGGGTTAAAGAGATGAGGCTATTTGTGGCAGGAGATGATGGGCCTCAGGGTTGGAAGAATCTGAAGTATAGGCTAAGGCATTTGGGCTCAGTGCTGTAAGGAATGGAAAGGCATTGAATAGAACTACTATGGCAGCTGGGAGAATGAAAATAGAATTTTTCTTTTTCCATTTACTCAAGGAATTGGTTCCATTGGAAAAGTTCAATCTTCTTATTTTTCGAGAAAAACCTCATCACCAAGAGAGAAACTAGTTTTTATTCATACAAGAAAGAAAAGTAAAAAGTGAAGTGAACAAGGAGTTCTTTGTACATAATCAACCCAGCTTATGCCTATGCTTTACCATTTCAGGTATTTGAAGATGTTTACCTTAAAGAAAGACCCCAAATCGAAGCACTACTAAATTGTACTGACAAAATTTTCACACATATTTTTATTCTGGAGATGGGTTTGAAATGGGTGGCTTTTGGATTTACAAAATATTTCACCAGTGCCTGGTGCTGGCTCGACTTTATCATTGTAATTGTAAGTTTACCATTTCTGTGTCCGTACAGGCACAGGGTGGGGATGGGGAAGGGATTATCTCATGAAAGCTGTTTTTCTGAATGTCTCAGATAGTTGCTGCTCTAAAATGTTTTTCTTGTTGTCGTTGCTCCTTCACAGTACTTGTAATTATTAATAGTTATCATTTGTCCATGTCTAGGATCTAGCCTTTCCCAAGTCCTACCCTTCATACACTGCACTTCACAGGCTCACCATCTAACCTTTCCCATGATAGCAACTATGTCCAGCTGAAACTGACCTCTTTCAAGTTGCACATCTAATGACTATCCATAGCTAATAAGAATGGTTAAAGATCTGCAAAGAGTGGTCTTCAACTTAAGTGCAGCATATTGTTTGGTTTTAATTTCATGTACTTAACAGAACTTTCCAATCCTCAGTCCTGCCTACTGGTGAGAAGTATTTTGGGAGGGAAAAAATGCATGTAATTCTCCTAAAAGGAGCTATTTGAATAAGGAGAAGTATTAGCAAATACATAATTAATTTTTCTTTGTAAATTTTAATTTTGATATTATTTCAAGCTTAATAAAAATGTTGCGAGAACTAGCACAAAGAAACCCTCATACTCTTCCCCATATTCACCAACTAATTACCATATCACCCCTCTGCTTTTGTCATTTTCTTTCTCTCTCTCTCTTTTTTAATCTAAACTGCTTGATATTAAGTTGTAAGTGTTATGCCCATCACCCCTAAACATTTCAGTGTGTGATTCCTAGTAAGAAAATGTCTCACATAATCACAACCAATGGTCAAAGTTAGGAAATTTAACATTGATTCAATACTGAAATCCATATCCATTTTCAAATTTTGACAATTATCACAACGTTCTTTATGGCTAATTCTCTCCATCCAGCCATCTTGTCCCCACACACCAGTCTAGGACCTAATTCAACATCCCATACCACACACATATCATTGTCATGTCTCTTTGGTTTCCTTTAATTGACAACAATTTCTCATCTTTTCTTTGTCTTTCATGAAACAAATAATGATAACACATTGTTTTTACCTTACTGGACTGTGGATTTGCCAAGCAAGGAGAAAAATGGACCCTCCATCTGCCCTCCCCCTTCTAACAGGGTCTGATTTGTTAATATGGGCTCAGTGCATTCTGCCTCTCAGAAAGAAGGCTCTTAACCTCTCTCTGGCTTCCCCAGACACCAAGTCAGGTGCACTACCTATGGCTTCTCTTCCCACCAGGTCTCTGTGCCCAGTCTCATTGACTTAAAGGGGCTGAGGTCCTTCCGGACTCTACGAGCACTGAGGCCTCTTCGAGCACTATCCCAGTTTGAAGGAATGAAGGTACATTCTCCAAGGGAATGGGTGGAAATTAAGGTAACAGGGAAAGGCAGAGAGGACAGCTGCTCTTCTTAGGCTGGGATTTTCTTAAATTGCCAAGCTTTTCCTGGGCTGCTTCTCACCCAGTCCAGTGCTTAGAATTTGAGAGGTAGAGAAAAGTCTAATACACTTTCTGTCTGAAAAGAGCTTCTGTGACATCTGAGAAGGGCTCTGATTTCCGATCAGAATTCTAGAGCAAGTGCTGCCTAAGTCTCTCACACCATCTTCACAGGGCACTTCTCAAGTTGTCCTTGGTGGCAACAGAAAGGATCCCTTAGGTATTGAGCTGACAGCAGGGCTTGTCATGGGTTGGGGGTCTGGGGTATGGACAATAAAGACTGAGCTGCAAGAAATCTAGCATCAGGCCTATCCTGGGAAGATGAAGAGCATGTTGAACCCTACCCATCTATTATGTTTTTCTCCCATTTTGTTTCCTTAAGGTGGTGGTCAATGCTCTCATAGGTGCCATACCTGCTATTCTGAATGTTTTACTTGTCTGCCTCATTTTCTGGCTCATATTTTGTATCCTGGGAGTAAACTTCTTTTCTGGAAAATTTGGAAGATGCCTTAATGTAACAAATGCAATTGATATTTCTATTATTGCTGACAAAAATCAATGTGTGAGTCACAATTACTCCTGGCACAATTTGGAAGTCAACTTTGACAATGTGGGGAATGCTTACCTGGCTCTGTTGCAGGTGGTAAGTTATGCTGTCAGTACGATTTTCACTTTGAGAAGAAAAAACTTTAAAGAATCATAAATCATTTCTCAACCAATAAAAATGCAATGATTCCATTGAGAATGGAATCAAATCCTAATTCCTCATGTGGGAGCCAGTGCCTTCTAGAATTGTCCCCTACTAAGCTGCACCTCCTAGTAATACCCCTATAAAGACCTGTATATACCACCTTGTCCTTTATGGAATCTTGCTTGCTCTCCAGAGCTCCAGCCAGAGAGAAGTGGAGCTTTAGATGTAGGTCATGACATTTTGAACAATTCCTTGTTAAAATCAAAGTTGCCAGGTCTTGAACAGCAGTGCAAACAGATGTGGCATCAGGAAAGAGGTTCAGTCAGGCTTTTTTTCCCCCAGCAGTTGGGCCACAGCTTCTCCAGTAACTTCTGTAAGTGAAAATTTCTTTTGTTTTTAAATTTTTTTATCTTGTGCAAATGGAGAAGTAAAATATTAAGACATATATCCTAGAAGAAAAATAAAGACACACAACCTAGAGTTCCCTTCTACTGTTCTTTTATTGGCATACTCAGTCTTGGAAGCTTGGGACATAACCTTATAGACATCAGCCCACTGGGCCTTGCCTGCTTTTGCATGGCAGGTGACTAGGTATGGCAAGTCTACGGTTGTGCTTAAGTTTTTCTGCATTTGTTGCAGGCAACCTTTAAGGGATGGATGGATATTATGTATGCAGCTGTCGATTCCGGAGAGGTGAGTCTGTGTTCCACCATGTTCTAGGGTATTAGGGTCAAATTAGGAATATCATGACTACGTGGAAAGTCCAGAAGTTCCTGTATCATAGTTTCAGTGACCAGGATTCTCTGCCTTGTTTTCCTTAGGACAAAACACTATGAAATACCACTGCCTAATAAAAGGGTTCTTATGCATCCTCTAGTGACTATCTGACACTGCAGTATTCTCTAAAGTCCAGTCCTCTTACTCTATGGTGGCCAAGGACAAACCATTCTTGTAAAAGATAGGGCTGAAGTAACAGAAGCATAGGACGCCTTCATTTTCCTCTTACTTCTTCTCCAAATGGCTAGAAAGATAGAAGACAAATTTCAAAGAGTACTTGTTTTAGACTATGAGAAAACCTTAAGATTGGAACTAAATATGAGCAAGAGAGACCCTCCCATGGCTCCTGGCTCCCTGGAGACTGGAGAGGTTTCTGGTGATTGCCAACCATCATATCTTAGTTGAAGAAAAAATAATTATAAATTCCCAAAGTTGAAAAAGTATTCAGGAATCTAGTCAAGTTTTTATTTTTCAGCTGGTAAAATTGAAGGATAGAAAAGTAGAGAGTTGCCCAAAGCCATAGAGTGATCAGATGGTTGAGTCAAGAATGGGATTAATGGGGAAAAGGAAATGTTTACTTTTTCCTATTGTAGCACATGTGCCTTGTTTTGTTTGGGAGTCTACACAGTCAATGCCTAATGATGTGTTCAGTACATATGAGTTGGTAGAGATTGAGTATACCTTATCCAAATTGCCTGGGACCAGGCTTTGGATTTTAGATTTTTTCTGATTTTGGAATATTTGCATAATACTTTCCAGTTGAGCACCTCTAATGAAAAAATCCAAAATTCAAAATGCTTTAGTGAGCATTTGCGCATTACCTGTGAGCATCATATGGATGTTCACAAAGTTTTAGATTTTGGAGCATTTTGGATTTTGCATTTTTGGATTAGGGATGCTCAACCTGTAGTAGCAATAGAGGTGGTCTGAGCAGTGTTTCAGCCTGCACTTAGAAATGAGAATGAGTCTTTATTGCCATTCTAGTTCTTGTTATGAAGTCACTGTCATCACGAGTTAATATGTAGGGGTCCTCAAACTTTTTAAACAGGGGGCCAGTTCACTGTCTCTCAGACTGTTGGAGGGCTGGACTGTGGGCCCTGGGATGAGTTGACTGCTAAGCAGGACAGGCAGCAGTGGCAAAACACCCCATGGGCTGGATAATGTCCTAGGTGGGCGGCATGTGGCCTGTGGGCCATAGTTTGAGGACACCTGAATATAGTAACAAATCTGAATTTGCTTAATTCTGGATGTGTTAATAAAGTCAAGTTTCTGGAAAGGCAAAGCTAATAGTAGATACCTGTTTATAACTATTATAATTTATATTTTAATATTTACATATTCAATGAATATATCATTATGTAATGATATATATACAATATAATTTTATAATTATAATTTAAAACAAAAGAAATATTTACAAATATTAATATACTCATTTCTTTTGTCTTTTTGAGTACATGACCTTCACCCTGGTTTGACTTAGGCATCCATCTGCCTTGAGATAGAGATGGGGTACAGGAGGAAAGCTTTGTAGATGTATGGTAGATCAGGTGGGTGGCTTACATACCAGGTCAGACAATGAAGTTTGTGAACTCATCCTAAAAAAAAGTGCTACATACCTCATTGAGTATCACTATGGTCGTCTTCGATGTACTCTCCTTGCAAAGCTATGCACTGACACCACCACCTAGTTCACCCTTCAAAGCACTTTTTCTAGGATGAGATTGTGAGCTTAATTGTCAGAACTCGTATGCTACTGTAGTGAGTGATAGGCAGGTAAAGGTGTATAGAGCAGTGCCTATTTTGATGCCCATGCTAGTATGTGCTAGCTACTGTATGTTAGCTTCTCACATGATGTCACTTCTCTGTGTAGCCACAGAGAACCCTGTTGGCCTCAAATATTGATGCTGTGACTGGTGAAACTGTGAGCCATTCTCCTTCTCAACTCTATTTTCCCTCAAGTACTGACTTATGCCATATCTTCTACTTGCTCCCTGGCCCAGGAGTCTACTCCTATCCCTTGCTATGAGGCCCACCATGGCATGTCAATGGCTGTCAACTCCAGCCCCTTATGTCAGCCTGCCTTCCCAATATATTCCAGGCTTTGCCAGCAGCAGTTTCTTCCCAGAAAACACAGAAGCAAAGTAAGAAACACCCTCTTTGCCTTCCACATCCCCCTCAATTTACTGGACTCCAATTAACCTCTCCAGACCCAAAGAGGGAGAATCAGAACACATATCTTATAGCTCTGATTTTTTTATGGGGTACAATGTGCTGGTTCTATATACAATTTGAAATACTTATAAAAAACTGGTTAACATAGCCTTCACCGCACTTTCTTAATTATTGTGTTAAGACATTTATACTCTACACTTAGTAGATTTGATACGTACCCTTGTAAAATGCACCATAGGTATGGAGGATGGGTGGTGGGAGGGTAATTGATCAGATTATAGCTCTGATTTTTTTGTCTTTCTGTTTTTTTTCCCCAAAATGCCCTAGAAATGGGGGTGATTTTGTGTTTTCCTTTCTATATGAACTTCTCTTCCATAAACTCTTCCCCTTCAAGCCCTTGATATACCAAAGAGAGACACAAAGGAATATAAACATTCTTATATCTCAAGGCAACAACCTAACTTGCAAGATTGATAACCTACTGAGTAATCTTATTTTAAATGTCTGGTAGTAGATACTAATTCTTTTCTATACTAATACTTATCTTTTTTCCAATTTTTAAATTTTCAGATTAGAGATGTTCAACCTATAGTAGTAGTAGAGATGGTACAAGTAGTGTTATAGCAGCTCTGAGGAATGAGAATTCATTTTTATGGCCATTAGTTCAAAGGATAGACATTAGTATAGAATGGATTCCTCATGCCAACTGGGAGTAAGGTCAGATACTCTTCATGGCAATAGAGAGAGATAATATTTTCAGATAATTACCTCCATTACACTAGTCTATATGATGGATATTGAATAGCAAATATCATAAATATGTTCAAGATATGATAGAACTATTAATGCTCAAAATATATCTCTGATATCACTGGGGGAAGAAAAGGAAATCTTACCATCTTCCTCAAAGTACATAAAGCCAAAATGGATCTCAGCTGCTTTTGAACATACCTTGAGCTAGGAAACCTTGGTGATACTCAATTTGTATCCATTTTGGAGATTAATCATTCATTTATTCATGGATTTAGTCTATGTATATTGAGAGTCTCTGTACTAGAAGGAATGCTAGGCATTAGGAATTCAAGAGTGAGAGACTATAATAACAAATTAAATAGAATAGTGGTCTCTGTATGGAAGATGTAGTAGTTAAACAGTGATTAGCAGTTTAGTCACCTCTTCCCAAGGTGAATGTGTCCCTTCTCTGGTGGCCTCACCTCCAGTCTGACTCCCTCCAATTACATACCCCTGTAGACCCCAAATCCCCACCACATGGTACCACTCAAGCCAAGCTGGAGAAACTAAAAGATGCTCCTATCCCCTCACTCAGACCCATGGCTGTTGGGAGGAGGCTATGCAGCCAGTGTTTCTCAGGCTGCTGAGAAATACTTTGATCTTCTAAATAAGGTAATTAGGTAATTCATTATTCTCCAGTAATTGTTTTTTTTCTCTCATTAAAAAAATCCATAACAGAGAGAACAACAGCCAGTATTTGAGAATAATTCACTCATGTACCTTTACTTCGTGGTTTTTATCATCTTTGGCTCATTCTTCACTCTGAATCTCTTTATTGGTGTTATTATTGACAACTTCAACCAACAACAGAAAAAGATAAGTATACATGTGGTCTTGATTTGATAATTTCATCTCTGTTCTCCAAAGGACGTTAATGAATCATAACTCTGGTCTAGATTGTTGTACAAAATAGCCTTTATGATCTGTATGAGAACAAAGCAGCCTACCACTTCTGTCTGGAGAAGATCCTCAGAGATGAGGCTGAGAGGGCACAGAATACATCCAGATTTTATTAAGTCATTATTTTCACTAACTGTCTTACTCTCTTAATTAATAGACATTACTATTGTTGAGATTAAGCCTGATAATTAAACTGTAACAGAATAGCCACCACTGGTATTAACATTTGTGACACTATCCTTATATTTTAATAACATTTCAAGTGTATTTTGATATCCATTATGGAAATAATGAATGGATTCTCCTCTTTCAGTAAACTTGTGTCCTAGCTCCCAATGCCCAAGCCTCAACAGATCTTCTTGGAAAGATGACTGGAGAAAAGGCTAGGCTACGAAGGTTATAATGTGTTATACTAAACAGATACTTATTTTGATAACTCTAAAATCCATAAGAGCTTTGTAGTAAATGTGGAAAATTAAAGAGGATAAGACAAAAATTAAAAGCACCTTAAGGCAACCATCAAATGATAACCACTTTAGACAGTGCTTCTTATTGTGTTAGTACAAATCCCTCTAGGCACTTATCAATAAGATACAAACTTCTTTTATAAGGAGGGGATCACCTTATGTTTTTAATTTTGTAGTTTATGACCTCAGTAATTATGAACCTGTGTCACAAAATCATCCTTACTATAAAAATTTTTAAGGCTACAGATAGACCATAATTTAGAATGATTATTTTCCTCTTTTTGGACATTTAAATTGTTTCTAAATTTCCTGCTCTTTTGAAACACCAATGAACGTTCTTAAAACTCTGTGTATCTCTCACTATTTGCTCAGGATATGTTTCCAGAATTAGAATATTTAGGGCATTAAAAAATATGGTTAAATTACCATGCAAAAAATCATGCATCAGATACCTTATTTCTATAGGAAATGAGGATCCCTAGTTATTGTAACTTTTATTATCTTTTCTAGACTGATGGGGAGAAGTGTTATCTCATTGTTTTATATTTATTTATTTTATAATTAGTCATTAGTCATTTATCATTTATTTAATTTATCAAAAGCTATGCACTTTTTAATAGGTTGTTGGTTGTATTTTCCCCTCAAGAATGATCTATTTATATCCTTTCTCTATTTTTAAGACTTAGATTGTCAGGGGATCCTGTAGCTCGGTGGTTAGGGCACTGGCCACATGCACCAGGGCTGGTGGATTTGAACCCAGCCCAGGCCTGCTAAACAAGCAAACAACAATAACAACAAAAATAGCTGGGCATTGTGGCAGGCACTTGTAGTCCCAGCTACTTGGGAGGCTGAGACAAGAGAATCGTTTAAGCCCAAGAGTTTGAGGTTGCTGTGAACTATGACACCACAGCACACTCCTACACAGGGTGACAAAGTGAGACTCTGTCTCAATTTTTTAAAAAAAGACTGAGATTGTTACCTTTTATTTATGCTTTTTTATGTGGTAAGTGCAATTTGTGGTTTGCTACTTACTTTTTTTGTAATTACATTTTTGATTTATAGACATTTCCACAATTATTTATTTTTCTACAATTACTTATTTCTTGATTCTAAAATACATATACAAGAGTTCAAATAAAAAGAACTCCTAATCTAGTTCTTTTTTGCTTTTTATACTTATGAACTGAGGCATTTCTTAATCCCAAAATCAGGTAACTAAATATTCACCTTTTGTTTTCCTGAAGTTTTATGGCTTTAGAATGTTCCTTTGGGACTCTTGTAATTCATCCAAAATGTACCTTGATACCAACTAGCCTTCTTAGCATCTGCTGGGAAAGTCATTTGCCATTGTTACATAACTACACGGCTTTTCCTACTCAGGAGTATTGACTGGAGAGTCCCCTTTGTAATATGCATCTTGATTGGAATCAATACTTGTATTTCGGATGTCATCCATAGTGATTTTATTTTTTTTATTAAGTCATATATACATAGATCATGAATACATTTATGCCTTTGTGGGATTCAATGTTTTGATTATTTGTACAAATTGGAGTGATTATATCCTTTCACCTCATTACTTAACATAGCTTTCACCTCATTTACTTAATCACAGTGTTAAGACATTTGTGTTCTATACTTGATAGATTTGACTTGTACTCTTGCAATATGCACCATCGTTGTGGTCCCACCATTAACCCTCCCTCTATCGAACCACCCCCCTCCTTCCTCTCTTCCTCTCCTTCCCTCCTTCATCCTGGGCTATAGTTGTGACTCATTTCTCACAGGAAACTATGAGTGATTATAAATTGGTTTTATAGTAGTACTGAGTACACTGGATTTTTTTTCCATTCCTGAGATACTTTACTAATAAGAACATTTTCCATCTCCATCCATGTAAACATAACAGAGGTAAAGTCTCCATTTTTTTAATGCTGCATAGTATTCCATGGTATACATATACTATAATTTATTAATCCATTCATGGGTCAGTGGGCACTTGGGCTTCTTCCATGATGTGGCAATTATGAATTGAGCTGCAATGAACAACCTGGTGCAAATATCTTTGTTGCCAAGTGATTTTTGGTCTTTTGGATAGACACCTAGGAGAGGAATTGCAGGATCAAATGGCAGGTCTACATTTAGATCCCTGAGTGTTTTTCAAACTTATTTCCAGAAGAAATGTATTAGTTTGCATTCCCACCAGCAGTACAGAAGTGTTCCCTTTTCTCCACATCCACGCCAACATTTGTAGTTTTGGAATTTTGCTATGTAGGCTACTCTTACTTGAATTAGATGATATCTCAAAGTGGTTTTGGTTTGCATTTCTCTGATGATTAAAGATGATGATCATTTTTTCATGTGTTTGTAGACCATGCACCTGTCTTCTTCAGAGAAGCTTCTGTTCATGTCTCTTGCCCACAATGAAATGGGATCACTTGTTCTTTTCTTATTAATAAGTTTGAGTTCTCTGTGGATTCTTGTTATTAGACCTTTGTCAGAAATATAACCTGCAAAAATCCTCTCCCATTCTGAGGATTGTCTACCTGCTTTACTTACTGTGTTTTTGGCAGTGCAGAAACTTCTTGATTTTATCAGATCCCAGTAATGTATTTTTGATGTTGTTTCAACTGCCTGGGTGGTCCTCCTAATAAAGTATTTTCCCAGGCCAATTTTTTCAAGTGTTTCCCCTGCACTTTCTCCAAGAATTTTTATGGTTTCATATCTTAAGTTTAAGTCCTTTAACCAGTGAGAGTCAATTTTTGTTAGAGGAAAAAGATGTAGATCCAGTTTCAGTCTTCTACAAGTCACCAGCCAATTCACCTGGCACCATTTGTTAAATAGGCTATCTTTCCCCCCAGTTTATATTTTTGATAGGCTTATCAAAGATCAAATGATGATAAGTGTCTGAGTTCATCTCTTGGTTTTGAGTTCTGTTCCATACATCTACCTCTCTATTTTTGTGCCAGTACCATGCTGTTTTGATCACTATAGATTTATAGTGTAGTCTGAAGTCTGGTAGTGTGAGTCTTCCTGATTTGTTTTTATTTCTGAGTAATGTCTTGGCTACTCAAGTTTTTTTCTGTTTCCATATAAAACTAAATACTAATTTTTCCAGATTTTTAAAGTATGATAGAGGTATGTTAATAGGGATTGCATTAAATTTGTAGATTGCTTTGGGTAGTATAGACATTTTAACAATGTTGATTATTCCCAGCCATGAGCATAGTATGTTTTTCCATTTGTTAACATCTTCAGCTATTTCTTTTCTCAGAGTTTCATAGTTCTTTTTATAGAGATCTTTCACGTCCTTTGTTAGGTACACTCCCAGATATTTCATCTTCTTTGGCACTATTGTAAAGGGAATAGAGTCCTTGATTGTTTTACCTTGACTATTGTTGGTATATATAAAGGCTACAGATTTGTGAGTATGGATTTTGTATCCTGAGATGCTTCTATATTCCCTGATCACTTCTAAGAGTTTTGTAGTTGAGTCCCTGGGGTTTTCCAGGTATACAATCATATCATCTGTGAAGAGTGAGAGTTTGCTCTCCTCTGATCCTATTTGGATACCCTTCATTACCTTCTCTTGCCTGATTGTGATGGCTAAGACTTCCATTATAATGTTAAAAAACTGGAGACATTGGGAAACCTTGCCTGGTTCCTGATATGAGTGGGAATGATTTCAATTTTACCCATTCAATACGGTATTGGCTGTGGGTTTCCTGTAGATGGCCTCTACCACTTTAAGGATTGTTCCTTCTATACCTATTTTCTTAAGTGTTCCGGTCATGGAAGGATGCTGGATATTATCAAAAGCTTTTTCTGCATCACTTGAGAGAATCATATGGTCTTTGTTTTTTATTTTGTTTATGTGATGTATTATATTTATAGATTTATGTATATTGAACCATACATGGGACCCTGGGATGAAACCCACCTGGTCATGATGTATAATTTGTTTGATCTGTTGCTGGATTCTGTTTGCTAGGATCTTATTGAATTTTTTTGCATCAATATTCATTAGAGATATCTAATAATTTTATTTTCTTGTTGGGCCTTTTCCTGGTTTGGGGATCAGGGTGATATTTGCTTCATAGAATGTGTTGGGAAGTATTCCTTCTATTTCTATGTTTTGGAAAAGGTTAAGTAATATAGGTACTAGGTCCTCTTTAAAGGTTTGGTAGAATTCTGATGTGAAGCCATCTGGTCTTGGGCTTTTCTTTTTGGGGAGATTTCTTATAGTTGATGCTATTTCAGAACTTGATATAGGCTTGTTCAACATTTCCACTTCTTTCTGGCTAAGTCTAGGAAGATGGCATGTTTCCAAGTATTGATCTATTTCCTTCAGATTTTCATACTACTGAGGATAGAGTTTTTTGGAATATTCATTAAGGATTTGTTAAATTTCTGATGAGTCTGTTGTTATTTGGCCTTTACCATTTCTGACTGATGAAATCAGGGATTTTACTCTTTTATTTCTGGTTAGGTTGGCCAAAGGTTTATCTATCTTATTAACCTTTTCAACAAACCAACTCTTTGGTTAATCTGTTGTATGATTCTTTTGTTTTCAATTTCATTTAGTTCTGCTCTAATTTTAGTTATTTCTTTTCTTCTGCCAGGTTTAGGGTTGGAATGTTCTTCCTTTTCCAGTTGCTTGAGATGTTCCATTAAGTTGTTAACTTCCTCTCTTTCCCTTCTTTTAAGGAAGACTTGTAACACTATAAGTTTCCCTCTTAGGACTGTCTTTGTGGTATCCCAGTGGTTCTGATAGTTCATGCCTTCATTATCATTTTGTTCCAAAAATTTGGTAATTTCCTTATTAATCTCATCTATGATCCAGCTATCATTCAGCATAAGGTTATTTAGCTTCCATGTTTTTGTAGGAGTATGCAGATTCCTGTTGTTACTGAGTTCAAGTTTTATTCCATGATGGTGCAAGAAAATGCAAGGAATAATTCCTATTCTTTTAAATTTACTGAGATTAGACTTGTGACCTAAGATGTTATCAATTCTGGAGGATGTTCCTGGACTGATGAGAAGAATGTGCATTCAGTTTTGTTAGGATGGAATGTTCTGTAGATGTCTGTTAAATCCAATTGTTGAATAGTTAAGTTTAAGTCTAAAATTTCTTTGCTTAACTTCTTATTGGAAGATCTATCCAACACTGCCAAAGGGGTGTTAAAAATCTCCAACCATTATGGTGCTAGAGGAAATCAAGTTGCTCATGTTTGTTAGTCTCTCCTAAATTGAGGTGCATTCTGGTTGGGTGCATAAATGTTAATAATTGAAATCTTGTCATGTTGAGTATTTCCCTTAACAAATATGAAGTGAACATCCTTATCTTTCCTTACTTTTGTTGGTTTAAAGCCTATTGTATCTGCAAATAAAATTGCAACACCTGCTTTTTCCTGATTTCCATTTGCCTGAATTATAGATGACCAACCATCCCTTCACCCTGAGTCTATATTTATCTTTTAAGGTAAGATGAGATTGTTGTATGCAGCAGATATCTGGCCTGAGCTTTTGCATCCAGTCAGCCAACCTGTGCCTCTTTAGTGGAAAATTTAAGCCATTAATTGAGAGTATTGATAAGCCTAGTAGTATTTTGGACATCGAGTTTTTCAAAAGTCCAGTGGGCATTTTTAATCCTTTCACCACTATGGAAGTTGGAGTTTCATCAAAAGTTTCTGAGTGAGTTTACTTTGGTGGTAGAGCATTGTGCTTGTCATTGTGGGGAATGGGTCTGAGAATATCCTGGAGAGCTGGTTTAGTTATGGCAAATGTCTTCAACATGTGAATGTCATTAAAGTATTTAATTTCTCTATCATAAATGAAACTCAGTTTAGCTGGATACAGGATCCTGGGTTGAAAGTTATTTTGTTTTAGGAGGTTAAAGGTTGATGACCATCCTCTTCTATCATGAAAAGTTTCACCAGAGAGATCTGCAGTCATTATAATGTTCTTCCCCCTGTAGGTTATGATTTTCTTACATGTGGCTGCTTGCAGAATTTTCTCTTTCATACGAACTTTGACAAAGTTAATTATAATGTGTCCAGAAGATGCTTTATTTGGATTGAGTTGTGCTGGGGTTCTGAAACTGTCTGCTATCTAGATTTCAGAATCCCTTGCCATGTTTGGGATGTTTTCCTCTATTATCTCTTGGAGTAGAGCAGCTGGGCCTTTTGAAGCAACCTCTTCTTCAGGAATTCCTATAAGGCGAATGTTTGCTCTTTTGGAGTGGTCCCACAATTCTCTCAGGGAATGGTTCATTTTTGCCCTCCACTCCTTTTCCTCCTTGAGCATTTGGGAGCATTCAAAAGCTTTGTATTCAATGTCAGAGATCCTTTCTTCTGCCTGCTCCATTCTGTTACTGAAAGATTTTACTGTATTTTTCAGATCTTTGAGGGCTGCAAGTTCTTGCCTCAATGTGTCAAAATCTTTGGTGATTTTTGTTTGAATTCATTGAATTCTTGAGACAACTTTTGAATTACTCCTTGAAATTCTACTTCCATGTTTACCTCCATTCTGTTGATCTTATTTGCCATCCAAATTCTGAGCTCAATTTCTGACATCTCAGCCATTTGTTTATGAATGGGATCATCTGGTGTGTCTGTTTCATCATTTCTTGGGAGGAGTTGATCTACTCTGATTATTCATGTTGCCAGAGTTTTTCTGCTGATTCTGCCTGATGATTATTTTTCACCATTTGCATGGCAGGTGGCTCTGGCAGGGCTGAGCATGGGTCATAGGGCATGAGGCTCTGGCAGGGTGGGGTGCAGGGCACTCAGTTCCAGAAGGTGGGGCATGCAGCTGGCAAGCCTTCTCCCACAGCTGGTTTGCACTTTTGTAGAGCCAAGCCGGACAGTCTCCCCCACTTTGTCTGCATTACTGCTGGGCTCACTGTTATAGTGAAGCTTTTCTACCACGGCCCTTGCTGTGCCCAGACCTGGCAATGAACTGCAGACATTTCCGTCTCTGCAGAGGTTAGCCTTCTGGACCTTCCGCGAGGGAGGAGGGTGGACTGGAAGTTCAAAATGTCAGGGAAAACATTAGTTCAACTTTCATGCCTGGCAAGAGAGTGCTCAGGGTCACAGCAAGGGTCCCTCTGGGGAAGTAGTCCCTACTTCCTACAACTCTCTCCCATGGGGTGAGAGAAGAGGTCTTCAGTTCACTGCTCGCCTGTAGAAAACCTACAGTGACCAAAAAAACCCCAACTCTCTTGGGGGAGGGGATGGACACTTTTACTTTGGGATGAGTTTTGTAACTAAAATTTGCTTTCTTAGAGTCGCACCTTGCCTCAGCAGAGGGGATGTGCAGTTATCACTCCTCTCTCAGCTCAGCTCCTAGTCTTCAGCTTTATTGGGTACTGTCTCATCATTATGCTTCCCTCTGGATGGGAGCTTCTATGGAAAGCTGACTCCAGTTGGCCATCTTGCCCCTCCTCTTGCCTTGTGATTTTAAACTGAAGCTTACATTAGAAATTATTGTTTTGATCAGTCCACGGTTTGTTTTGTTTTTATTTTACTCAAGAATTTCAAATATGCATGAGAATATGCTAGAATGAAACTAAAATGCACCTTATCCAACACAACTTTTTTCACCTTAGGAACATCAATGCCTATACTCAATTCTGCCAGTCACAGACAGTAGATTATTTCATTAGTAAATATTTCAGACCATATCTGTCTTTAAACACAGCCACAGTTCCATTATCATACCTAAAATATTTAATGCAAAACCTGGTATATGTTCAAATTGCTCCAAGCCTTTAATTTTAAAACAATGTTTATTTGTTAACTCTTTATTTCATTTAATTATTTCCATTAAAGCTCTTTTTGTGTTTGTTTTGTTTTGTTTTTAAACCAGATTCAGATACATAAGTTCTTCCCATTTGATGACTTCATGTTCTTTGAAATGCTTAGGCTGTACATTTTCCAGGCTTAGGCTGTACTCTACTTGTCCCAGATCTGAAATCAGCCATTCCTCTAAAAAACACTGTTTTCTTTGTGGGAAGTGATACATCAAGATCATGGTCTGCAGTGCTCATTTTCATAATTTCTAGGCCTTTTCAATGCACAAAGCTACTTCAAATCCAAGAATACAAAAACAATGTGTGGAAATATGCATACTGATCATTCAAATTTGGGACTACAAAGTTTTCATTTTAGCTCTTCTCTTATACATCTGTGTCTCCTCTTTTCCACACTGAAATACATGATTTTTAAGGGCCCAGGAGATGATGTCAGTAAACATTTCCACACTTACCTATTTTCTTTATTCTACAACACATATACAGACACTCTAGTCTCAGAATAATATTATTAATGTTATCATGACAAAGATGATTACTAAAGGACTTATTTTTGCTCAGCATCCCAAACAACCTGGTTAACTTCTAGGTAAACTTCTACATCTACATATTTTTGGTTCATACTGGTGGAATAAATCCAAACTGCAAACCCTCATCAAAGTAGAACTGATGTTGCAAATTATCGGAGAAAACTGGGTTTTTACTCATAGTCCCGATCGAGACAATTTCCTGCTTGTCTTCCAATACCAACAGTTAGACTCTGTGTTTTACTTCTTTTTTCCTTCATCCTTTTATTGGCAGCCCTTGGATAGTCTCAGACTCTTACTGTGACCTCTGTGCTTTCTGTCCCTTTGCATAAGCCCTCTGACTTTTTTTTTTCATGAGTTCCCTACAGTTATTAAAATCCAAGATTCTAGTTTACAGAGATTAGCAAATAATCTTGGGCCAGCCCTGGTTTGGGGGCTTATTTGCTGTATCTTTTTGATCTCTTAATTTTCAGACTCTGAAATTGTTCCTGTTTTGCAAGTTCCTCAACTTAAACCTTGTTTCTTATCAGCACCTTCCCTAGAGTCCAGATTCTTTCACTTCTCATTATAATTTTAGCATAGTTAATAGAAATGTAATATAAATTTAATATTGTTTCTAAAAATTCAGAACTTGATTCTGAAACAATCTTGTTAAAGGTAATTAGCATTTGTCTTTTCCTTATACTTAGGTGGCCAAGACATTTTTATGACAGAAGAACAGAAGAAATACTATAATGCAATGAAAAAATTAGGATCCAAAAAACCTCAAAAACCTATTCCAAGGCCTCTGGTGAGAGCAATTGAATAATTCTAAATACATAATACAGTTGAGTAACTGTGAAGAACTCAGATTTCTGCACTGCCATCCTTCTTTATTTTTTAAATTTATAGATGCTATCTAGGAAGTGAACAAAACCCCAGATACATCGAAGTCCTTAAGAAAATTAGATATTCAAATTCAATAGTAACAGCCTGGGCAACAGCTTAAATTTATTTTTTAGTGAACATGCATCAGTGGCTTAGTAAGTACTTATTACAACATGAACTTAGCAGCTTGTTTAAATTTAATTTTGACCAGTTTAAAATGTATCTTTGGTGTGAAGTTCAGTATATGCATACTCACTTCCATTACACGTATTTATGATAAATTTTGTATGTCAAGAGTTGGCAATGGGTGGCACCTGTGGCTCAAGGAATAGGGTGCCGGCCCCATATGCTGGAAGTGGCAGGTTCAAACCCCAAGTCTGGCCAAAAACCGCAAAAAAAAGAAAGAAAAGAAAAGAAAAGAGTTGGCAAACATTTTCTTAAAGGAACAGATAGTACATATTTTAGCCTTTGCTGACCATAAGGTCTCTTTAGCTACTATTCAACTCTGCCATTTTGGCACAAAAATATCCATAAACAATATAGAACAGATGAATGTGGCTGTGTTTTAACACTATTTAGGGACATGGAAATTTGGATTTCATGTTACAAAATTTTATTCTTCTGAGTGATTTTTTCCCCCCAAATTTAAAAATGTAAATCCCATTCTGAGCTGTATAAAAGCAGGTTTTTGGGTAAATTTGACTGTGTGTCATAGTTCTCTGACCCCTGTTCTCTATCACTCAATGCTGTTGTATCAGGTATCACAGGGCAAGTCAGATGTACTCAGAACTTCTCCTTGCCTGCAGTTTAATTGAAGATCTTAGATGCAATATACATATTTGAGAACTTTAGATTATAAAGTAATACAGCAGGCACATTGGTGATTTTGACAAGTGAGTTTGAAAGCTTTCAGGGCAAGGAGGGTTGGAAGGGAAGTCAGAGAAACAGGGCTTATAATCTCAAGCATGTAGAAGATTTGGAGATTTTTATTCCAACACAAGACCCCCAATAATCAAAGACATTAATTTACTGTTATTCCCAGCTCTCAAATTGGCATAACTTGTGTTCGCAGTAATTATTTGTTGAATAAAAAAGATACATTTTAGAGCACAGATTCCATTCCACTAAGATTAAATATTTGTGTTGCACTAAAAATTCTATGGATGTTAGAGCTGAGTATTTAGAATTTATCCTTTATATAGTGAAGGATTTTTGACCATAAAATTGTATTTGGAGAGGTTTAATTTATCTACGGTGTATGAAACTTAAATTTACCTTAGTTGAACCTAGCTTTTAAATACCAATTTTACTTTACAGTACAAATTTCATTTTGAAGTTCTTATTTGAACTTGAGTCAGCAAAAAAAGATAAAGAGAATTTTTCTTTCTGTGTACATGCCACACAACCACTGGCTTAATACCAGTCAGTCCTAGGTTTGGAATTAACTAAAAGATCCACCAGATGCATATGTTCCCACATATTTACCAGTATATGCCAAGTAGTGTGGCACACAGTCAAACAGAAGTCGCAGAAACACAGACATTGCTTCTTGGGCCCTCTTCTGCATAGGGGACATGCTGGGCTGCAAAAAATGAACTGAAAGTGGGTGTGTACTACTTTACCACAGGAAAGCTGCCACCTGCACTCCTTAACTATCTTTAACAACATATTTATCACATGGCTCATCTGGGAGAAGGTGCTAAGCCACAGCCCTCCCTGCATAGCTATAATTCACCAATGGAACCATCAATGAATGATTTGACAACCAAGTACAATTATCACCAGTTAATGCTGCACATTTATCTTAACTTTTTATATTTCAAAGAGCAGTGTTGCATGAGATAAATCCAACATATCTCCAGAAGTCCCTGAGTCTGGGCTAAAAATTCAAATCAACAGTTAGTCCTTGACCCACAACTTTATCTCCCCAGAGAATCTCTAAAATCTGAATATCATCTTTTGATCTTTGGAACAAATGAATAGCAATTGTAGAGAGGAAAATCAAACCGAGTATTGATGCATTTCATTTCTAGAAATAGAATTTAGGATCATTTCTGATTTTTCCTGAAGCACCTCCACAGGATGGCTTTATTACTTGGTTTAAAATTCATAGTGCAGTGTAGTCTATACATTCTAAAGTGACATAGATTGCTTTTGATCATCTAACACTTTAATTTATAAACTTAATCTTCATTGTTTGTCTAAATGTTAGAATTAACTATAAAACCAATGCTCACCTTTTCTCACATTTCTTTTTGCCCTTTATTCTGCCTCACTGTAGTGTATCCATAAGGGTATCTTTCCTCCAGCTCTTTCTGAATGCATTCTCATATAGGAAAAGCACTTGATTTTTAAGTGTCTTCTCTAATTTAAATATGTGTCTCCCCACATTTGGCCCTACCCTCCTTCTTATTACTCTCGCTGTCCCTGAATGATAAAATTCACTCTCATGGGTTTAATAAATATGTGTATTCATGTTATAGAACTCCATACCTGCATTCCAGCTTCTGCCCCAAGCTGAAACACATACTTCTACCTGCTCCCAGCCCTGGATGTCCCACTGGCTCTTCCATCTCAACATGGTCAAGATAGATCTCATCATCTCCCTTCAATACTCCTCATTCTTTGATCTCTGGATGGTTAAACTAGAAACAATAGCTTAAGCTTTAACTTTTTACTAGCCCACTACATTCAAATACTCCAACAGTTCTTGCTTCTACCTACATGTTAGTTCTTAGTTTTTGCCTTTATTATCAACACCATAAGCCATCATTATCTTCTTCCTGGATTACCACAACAAATCTCTGAGGAGTTCTAAAGATGTTTGGAGGGGTTTATGAGTTCTGTAAATAGAATAGTGTATGCTACTTTGATTAAATGACACCCATATTGAAATACAATCCAAAATATGTACATATTATAAAACAACCAGCAAGTAGTCCAAGAATGCCATACAATTTCAATGTCTGAATTTGTGTTTAGGAATAATTATCTACCTTATGAAGAACAAAGTAGTGTGTCAAAGCGCTTATAGTAAAGAAAATTATGGAATAACTGAGTCATTTCACTACTCATGGTAGATTTGCCATGCAAACTTGATTTAGAATCTATATTAGAGCAACGCATATTCACTATAGATGGACAGTGTGGTCAGTTATATAGGAACAAATATGCAAGTTCACCATCAGTAATAATATGAAGTTATCAGTTTTTCTGATTCCATTTTTAGTAATCACTGGAGACGTTAATTCTATTTTGCCCAACATACTTATGTGAGCAGCTATTCTCTGCATTAATATTTTTCAAGCAAAAATACAGAAACAGATGAAATAGAGACCAAGGTTCATCTTTTTATTTATACATTATGCACTATTTTATTTCAGTGAAGCAACATCACTAATCATATCAAAGTTATATTGTTACTAAGACTTCTATATTTCTGTTTTTAAAATGAAATTAAAGTTATAAACCTTAAAACCAGCTATCTAATTAAATTTAAATGAAAATATATAAGGCAATATTGGGAACCTATAAGAATATCTTCCCCTTTCTAAAGGGTTTGTACATTTTTTAAGGAACTGCTTTCATTGGAAGAAAAAACAACCTGTCTTTTATTAATGTGTCTTTTTAATGTAGGTGATTTTATTCTTGCAACTTGAGGTGATCTAAGATTTCTTTTTTTTTTTTCCCTCAGAACAAATGTCAAGGTCTCGTGTTTGACCTAGTCACAAGCCAGGTCTTTGACATCGTCATCATAAGCCTCATTATCCTAAACATGGTTATCATGATGGCTGAATCATATAACCTAACCGAAGACACAAAAACCATCCTTGATAATCTCAACCGGGCTTTTGTGGTCATCTTTACAATAGAGTGTCTCATCAAAATCTTTGCTTTGAGGCAATACTACTTCATCAATGGCTGGAATTTATTTGATTGTGTGGTTGTGGTCCTTTCTATTGTTAGTAAGTAAAATCAGTAGCCAGAGGGGTTTTAAAATGAGAGCCAGAAGTAAAAGTATAATACTTACCATTTGGAAGTATATCTGAACTGTCTTCAACACAGCATATTAGGCATAATGTGGTTTCTGAAAAAACAGGGGTACTAACATCATTCTTTGCTGGGAGGATGCGAGGCAATAGAGTAATTTCCATCCCCTTGACTATCTACACAATTGAAACTGAAAGGTAAATAATTACATGAGTAATTTATTCAATGGAGAAAGACAAAATTAAGTTGACTCAGAAGTCTTTGGGGTGGTACTTGGTTTATTCAGGTAATTGAGTTAAAGTTCAGCTTTCTGGGACAAATATAAAAAAGCCCTAATAAACATTTTATAGTTTTAAGCATTTGGCATTTAGTGCCCATGTTTTCTTTTTTCTTTGTTCATTCATGAACAATCTGTAATGCCAGATCATAATTATTGTGCCCCTATGGCATTTTTGTGCCTTCCTCACCTCCCATTCTAGATTGGGCTTCCAAGAGGTACTTTACAGAGAAGCAGTATTCTTCCCTTGTTCTATATCCTGTGTTAACTTAGACCACAGCGTGAACCGTGCTTATACCATCAGTTTTGATCCCATTTTCTAACCAGCTGAGCAAGATTTACTATAAGGTTTATAGAAGAATAGTGAATAAAGAGGGTTATTGCCATATAATTTTTTCAAAATTTCATATTTTTGTTAACATATTTTGTTTTTGTACAGACTGAGTCAAATTTATACAAGTTAAGTGTGCCCTTCACCCAGATAGTGTGCCTTTTACCCAAAAGGTGTGAATTTACCCATCCTCTACTTCCCAACCATATACCTTTTTATAAAATACACATGTGCACACATCAGCTTTGTAATCAATTCATCATGGCTAAATTATGAGAGTTTACTGTGGCTTTTTGAAGTCTGGTTTGAAATAAACCATTAATTTGACTTTTTATAATTATGTAAAACTGTCCAGAAGGCCTTCTCATAGTTCAAAAAGCAATTGAAGACACAGCAAACTGATTTTACAAGTGGAAGCTTTTATGCAGTCTCAGAAAGGATACATCAAATAAATATGTTGAATCAAAATACTTTGGTTCCCACTGCTATCACTGTAATACAGATATTTCAGAGAGCAAGAAAATGCTACAGTGTGTAGTGGGTTCTGGTTTCTAAACCATGAAGTTAGTGTAGATAAAATTTGGCAGTAGATTTTTCTGTGTGTTTGTAGTTATATAGATCTTTAATTTTTGTCAATCATTTCCAATCACAAGTCCTGGCAAAACTGACAAAAGTAAAAACAGAAAATGGTGGTACAATGACTCTGAGGCAGCCAACTGAGAGCTCAAAGAGCCCTTCCTCTGATAGGTGAAGAGCAGTTCATTCATTTGATAGCCCCCTTCCAGGCAGTGACAGGCATTGTGCCGTTTGTGAGTTTGTATAAATATCTCTGACGTCTATCTTTTAAATAGCTGCTAGCCAATTGCAAATAAACTTGTTGAATAGCATTTTGCTCCAATGGATGAGAAAATCTCCTATTAAGTGAAATTCTACTCACCAGTATAGGCAGAATTTTATGTGCTTTTGCCAGTATGTCTACCATGCAACAACCCAGCCTTGATACTTTTATAAGCTGCTTCTGAAGATTTTAGAGAAAACGTGAGAGTGAATTGAAAGGCATCTCCGTCTTGGAATTAACAATTCAGTTGTGGTATTAAAATCTACTCACCTTAAAGTGTCAGAAGAAAATAGAAAGGAATTGAACACCAAACCACATCATACACAGTAGAATTGAGCTCAGAAATGACGGATTACTATGGACTCAATTAACCAAAGAAACATTAAGGGAGGCAATAGGCCTTAAGAGATGGACCTTCTTTAGTTGTTGCTGAGGTGGTACTTAATAAATTTCATATCTTACTGTATTTAACTTCCCAATTAATATATGAATTCAACTTCTTTGGCACCAGTGGGCAGTCAGTGAAATGTATCAACTAGTTCTGTTTAGTCATTAGGTATTGACAGAAGCATTTTGAGACCCTATGACCCTTAAGGACCTTAAAGGATCCTCAGTGCAAGAAAAAGGCCATGTCCATACAAGGCAAGCATGTTCCAGCCATGCTGCAATATTTGGGCTAAGATGTGAGTTACTTTAAATCCTTGTATCACTTGCCTGCAGAGCAGGCAATGAGAGAACAGGGTGGCATTTTAGGCCAAATATTCAGTTGTTTGCACAGACCTCTGCTTGAGATGCCATTTCTGGGATGTTTGCAGCAACAGAGGAAGGATCTCCCCAATTTTGTCCCTTGAGCTTGTTGAGTTTGGACCTTGGGAGTGAGCATAATGGTAAATATGCAAGATCCATGGGCAGCTTTAGACAAAAGATGAGTGTTTCAGCACCATCATCTCCCTCTAGCTGTACATACGTTGTGGCTCTTTCAAAAGGTAAGTCTTCACCTGTAGCAAGGCTGTATTCAAATTTCTCTAAATAGGCCAGGGGTGGTGGCTTACACCTGTAATTCTGGCACTCTAGGAGGCCAAGGCAAGTAGATTGCCTGAGCTCAGGATTTTGAGACCAACCTGAGCTAGAGAAAGAGACCTCTCTATAAAAAAATAGCCGAGCATCGTAGTAGATGCCTGTAGTCCCAGCTACTTGGGAGGCTGAGGCAGGAGGATCGCTTGAGCCCATGAGGTTGCTGTGAGTTATGATGCCACGACACTCTACTGAGGGTGACAAAATGAGACTCTGTTTCCAAAAAAAAAAAAAAAGAATATTTCCCTAAATAAGAACCTGCCCTTTGGAGTAGAACTTTGGAGCCAAAGGTTCTACAATTTCCCTAAGCAGCTCAGGCTCAAGAGAACCTTCAACAGCAGACATTTCTCCTTCTACTCTAAAAGACTCAAACTATAGTTTATCTATTTTCCATACTATGTATTCAGTAAATACAGAAACCTGTCTTATTGTTTAAAGTAACTCCATAAGTAACTTTAAAAATCCAACATAGATAACATACATGAGGTAATTCACAAAATAACTCTTGTAAACTGCATTTGTTTCCTTGGTGTTGTCAACGTTTTAGACATTCTCTCCCATCTAAAGTCTCGTCCCAAACTGTATGGCCCTTCGAAATTATTTTCCAAGTTAAGGTACAGGTAGATACTTTCTCTGATATTGGTAAAGAAAGTTCTTAGTTTTGTGCATAAATCACAAAGTATTGATAAAAAGCTGACTCTAGTAGGATTCTGAAGCCAGTGTGCCTACTGGAAATTTACTGACTTTTCTCCTTCTCTTGAGGTACAATTGTTTCTGAGTTGGAACAGAAGCTCATAAATTTCCCTCCGACGCTCTTCAGAATTGTCCGCTTGGCTAGGATTGGCCGAATCCTGAGACTTGTTCGGGCAGCCCGAGGAATTAGGACTCTCCTCTTTGCTCTTATGATGTCTCTTCCCTCTCTATTCAACATTGGTCTTCTACTCTTTCTGGTGATGTTTATTTATGCCATTTTGGGCATGAACTATTTTTCCAAAGTGAAACCAGAGTCTGGAATTGATGACATTTTCAACTTCCGAACTTTTGGCAGCAGCATGCTCTGTCTCTTCCAGATAACCACATCGGCAGGTTGGGATGCCCTCCTTAAGCCCATGCTGTCAGAAAAATCTTGTAATTCCTCTTCAGAGAACTGTCGCCATCTCCGTGCCATAGCCACAACCTACTTTGTCAGTTATATCATTATCTCCTTTCTTATCGTTGTCAATATGTATATTGCTGTGATTTTAGAGAACTTCAATACAGCGACTGAAGAAAGTGAGGAACCTTTGGGTGAAGATGACTTTGAAATATTCTATGAAGTTTGGGAAAAGTTTGACCCAGAAGCAACCCAGTTTATCAAATATTCTGCCCTCTCGGACTTTGCTGATTCCCTTCCTGAGCCTTTGCGTGTGGCAAAGCCAAACAAATTTCAATTTCTAGTAATGGACTTGCCCATGGTGAGTGGAGATCGCCTCCACTGCATGGATGTTCTCTTTGCTTTCACCACTAGGGTACTAGGTGATTCTGATGGCCTGGATAGCATGAAAACAATGATGGAGGAGAAGTTCATGGAAGCCAATCCTTCCAAGCAGTTATATGAACCCATAGTCACTACCACCAAGAGAAAGGAAGAGGAAAGAGGTGCTGTTATTATTCAAAAGGCCTTTAGAAAGTATTGGAAGACGGCCAAGGGTGACTTGGAAAACAGGCCCCATTTGCCACTCCAGACTCTTTGCAATGGAGACTTGTCTAGCTCCGGGGTGGCCCAGGGCAAGGTCCACTGTGATTGAGCCCCTCACTTTCATCCCTACCTCACATCCACACAGTCTTGCCTCCAGTCTCTGGGCTTCAGGTGTCTGCTGCTCAGTGTACAAACAAGCAGTGGACTCGCTAATTTAGCCATTCCATTTGTTTTCTAGCTAAATATAGTGATACATTTTTATTTCATTTTAAATAAGTCTTACAAAGATAAGACTACATCTTAACCACTGGCACTACTTTATCAAAGAAGAGGACACTGGAAAGTGCTGTAAAGGACGTGCTAGTGTTAGGATTAAGCCATAGTTCAAATTATGTTGAAACAAAAGAGTAAGAAACAGAAAAATACATTAAAATTTTAAGTTGTGTTTTTCCTTATGTTTCTAGGTGTATTGCCCAAATACCTTCATTTAATGTTTTTCCCAATGCAAGAGTGTGGTTTATCATATAGCTCTTTTGCATGCTAAGTAAAATAATTCAAAACCTGCCAATAAATGAATATCTTATTGAAAATGTTTTTTACCAACATTAAATATTTGGTAACTATTTAAAAGGGATTTATTTAAAAACTAAAGACAAAATCATGAGTTGTCATTTACCACTCTATCTTTCACAAGCTACAGTCTCTGTTATATACATCTGAAAATAAATAAATGAGACTTTCAGTTTGTCTTTCTTTATTTCCCTCTCATTGAGTGGTTGTGTAAATAGTGGTTTAAATGTTGTGTTTTGCTTGGAATTAAAGATTGGAGCCAGCTGTGTGTCTGATATGTGTTTAACAGTTGGCTCTTCAGGGTAAATGCTTTGTAGCATTCATTGATTTCTGTGTGCGAATGCTTCCATCATGGCTGATTTCAAGTCACTGACGTGGTGTTACCAGACATGGAGTTAGGAAGAGGTGTTTGTAACAAGTTCTTGAGAGCTGGCCCAAGCTGGCTCTAGCACACCATTGCTGGACTCATTAGAGAGGCCTGCTTGAGTTCTTAAAATATTTGCCATACCTTCCTTGGATGAGAGTGCCCTCTAGCAACACCTGGGCCACAGGGTGGGGGAGCTGAAAAACACTGTTTAGCGAGTGGGCTTAGCCATTTGATGAGCCCTATACTCAGTTTCAACTGAAATTTTACATGAAATGCAGCCCTGAGAAAAACCCAGGTTTATCAGATGGGCTTGGCTTTGGGATTAGCCTAGTTCTTCCCAAATTTCCTAAAAACTGAAGACACCAAAAAGCAAAACAAGGCATTAGGCTTTCAGCCCCAAAAGAGGGTGGGCTAGGGTCAAAGAAACCAGATTACGATAATCTAGATTTAGTGGAAAACCTCACAGAAATAGCCCAGGAATCCTGTATCTCAGACAGGTAAGAAGAGCTGATGTGTCTGTCAGCAGCCTGGAGTCAGGGTCTGAGCCTTTTACCTACCTCCACTGTCTAGTGGAAGAAAGGGAAGCATTGGATCCAAGCTGGGCTGTGGGGTAATTATTTTCAATGTGTATGAGATCTAACCATGACTTGATGTATTCATATTCAGGGCCTGAGTTTTATGAGTTTTGTAGGCAGCTTTGTGCTCTGGAACACTGGGAAAAAATAGGAATAATATCATCATCTAGTATTTATTTCATGGCTGCTCAGCATCAGATGCTGGGTAGGCATTTGCCATTAATAATCTCATTTGTACCTCTTAAGAACTCAATGAACCCATTGAAAAATGAGAAAACCAAGGGACCAAGAGGCTGAGTGACTTGCACACAGTCATGCATGTGGCAGAGCCTGAGCATCTGTGCCATGCTGGGAAGGGACCACAGAGGGTTTTGTGCAGTACTGCCAGTGCCTCACGGAAATCACCAGTTTTAAAGTAATGGCTAAGTTCTTCTTGAGGTTCTGGGAATGACCTATGGTTTCCTTAAAAGATGCCTCTGATTATAAGCTCTGGGCGATTTATAGATTCCTACCAAGTTTTCTGAAAATAAGGGATTGTTGTCATTACAGTAGGGGGTACCTCTTCACTAGAGATAAGAGAGGATCTAGAAGGACATAGGTCTTGCCATTCTAGACTACCATTTAGGGATGTAAACTGATCTGTATAGAAGATTCACCCCACCCTACTCCACTCTACCCTACACATGTGTCTACCCTAACAAGGTTCGATTTGGCCAGGTCTGGATTCCTGGAGTCACATTCTAGAGTGAGAACACGATCTGCTTCATATTAGCAGGAGGTGGAACCATGCTTCCTTCACTAGATGGCAGCAAATGTCCAACATGTTTTTTTCTGAGTGCCCTGTACAGCAAGTGTATGTGGGCCTATCACTTATAGCACCAGAGGAATGAGAGCAGGAGAACCAAGGCAGGAAGTGGTGAATTTCCTAAACCCTAGATGAGTGCTAGAAAGCTCACAGACATATTCCTAGAGGTATTGCTCACTGTGTAAGGACCCTGGATACCCGCAAGAGACAGAGATGATGGCCTGAGCTGTTTTCCTGGGACATTCTGATTTTCCATGGCAAACAGTCCTGCAAGAACATGAAGCCAGTCCCTTGTCCTTTGAGTCTTTTCTCCAGGTAAATCACGCCCTTCATAATTCAATCAATAAACATACTTCTGAGGATCAATATGTAAAATGCTTCTAACCAGTGGTCATTAACCTCAAGAGCATCAGGAAATCAGACGAGTATTTGTGTGATGATAATGCAATACATGGTCTGAGGATGTGCATGGTGACTCTCACAGGAAGCCTTCATAAGAGAGGAGCATCTGAGATGTGCAGGATTTTGACAGGTGGAAGAGGTTTGGGAGGATGTTTGAAGTGGACGAGGCATCATGGGGAGCACCGTGGAAGCCAGAAAATGCAAGGAAGTATGAGTTACCCAACTGACTGAACATGGAGTATAGACAGTAGAGCAGTAGCAACAGAATATTGGAAGTGGACTATTTGTGAAGAGCTTCAAATGCCAGAGTGAGACATTCAAGCATATTTAGATAATGGGAAGGCACTGAAGGTGTTTGAGCAGGGAAGAAAAATTAACTGGGCAGAGTATGCAAGGTGGAATGGAAAATGAAACCCAGCAGAGAAGAGACACCGAGCCACAAAGGAGGTGGGAGAAATGCAGTGTGATTCTAGGAGGCTTATGCCAACTGACTGGCCATGAGGCAGGATTCATGGGAAACTTAGAATTTTTGACCAGGTGACAAGATAAATAACAGTACGAGTTACCAAATTAAAGAATATAGGAGGAGCAAGAAGTGTTTTTGTTGTTGTTTTTCTTTCTCTGTGTTTTCATGGCTAAGGAGGAATAAAACCTAAAAATTAATTCAATTTTTAAGAAATTTGAAGATTTAAGATGCTAAGTCCAAATGATGACTCTCACCCAGCACTAGCATGTTAGGACAGTTGTGGACAGCAGTCCTCAGCCCAAAGGCAATGTCTGAAACCCCAAGAACAGATGATTTGTAGGAGAGAGAGAATATCCAGATCAAAGGAGGCAGAGGACTTGTCCACGGCAACAGGGGAGAGGAGGTGTGCTTTTAAAGAATAAAGATGAAGAGGAGTGAGATAGTGTAGAGAAGCATGTGGAGAGGTAGGTGAAGGTAAATATCATGACACATAGCACAGGCACAAAGCAGTCTTCACCGGAGAAATTCAGTCAGTAAGATGAAATATGCAGTCCTGCCATTTCATCCCAAGAAGCATGCAGAATTCAGGAAAAGATCCCTTTTTATAGGGCAAGTATGAGAGCTTGCTCTATAAATAATGAGGCTGAGGAGTGATCTGTTCCAGGGAGCACTCTTGGAATGTCAGCTACTAGTAGCCAATGCCCCCGAGGAAGTTGAAATCCTGTACAGCTCCTCCTGCTGAAGGAGGGGCAGCCACTTGTCCCTGATAGCTTGTTGCCTGGCAACCACACAGAACCTCCAGGGTCACTGAATGGGCAATTCAGTCTCTTGATACATAGGAGTAATGAAAGTAGCAGTGAGGAACAAAAGCTAACGTTTATTGAGCACTTACTCTGGGCCAGGTAGCCACTTTACAGGCAGTACCCCTTTACAGCAGCTCTGTTAGGTAGAAACAATTTTTAACCTTCATTATACAGATGAGAAAACTGAGGCATGTAGAAGAAATAAGAGGCTTATTCAAGGTCACACAGTCAATAAGTAGTTTCTGTCAGGATTCAAACTCAAGCTCCAGCTCCTCTGGCTCCAGATCTCAAGCTATCAACCACTATACTGCACTGGTTCACAGAGAAAAAGAAATTCCATGGTTGAAGTCAAAGAGTGGGAACAAGGCTTTCCTGATAGTGCCTGTAAACTTTTCACCATCCATTTCTTGGGGGAACCAAAGGATTTTTATCCTCTGGACATAATGTATATTTTTCAAGTTCTTTTGACAGTGTAGTAACCTGCTTTGAGGAAATGCTGTAATTCCTTCCAAATTTAACAGACTTAGTTCTATGGATGTATTTGGTTCCCTAATATTTTGTCAGGTTTCACTCTTTTACCTTTTTCTTTCTCCATCTCCAGGCAAACTCTGGTTAATTTATCTCCTCTAATACCATGTGCACAGGGAGAAGTGGAACCATGTCCTCCTTTTGGTGTACCCTCATTAATGTAGATTGTAAATGTGCTAGAAAAGCCGTGATGGTAACAAGAGGTATCCTAAGGTTATCAATTTAGCCTCTTTTAATCTTCACCAGTTCCCCAACTCAACATACTCTGACTGAGCACACAAGCTAAGTAAAAACATTGTGTCTGCTGTGACAATGCAGCTTCAAGTTCTCTTACCCCCTTTCCATTCTCTAAGATCTTCTTTTATTTTAAAATTACTTCTAGAGCTCGATCACAATGATAGCTCATATTTTACTGATTCATGAGACTGAATCAGACTCCTAGATAGTTTTGCTCATAAATTAATGCTAAATTAATTAATATTAAAGTGCAATATTTGAGAAAAAAGTTTCTTTGGCTCTAACTGGAAGTCTCAATAAAATTCTGGATCACCCATTTTAGCACTAAAGTTCAAAAGGAGAGTTCCTACTATTCC